TTTACTTTTGTTGTTTTTTTGTTTGGTTGTTCTGAGATACGTGAAGGATGAATTGGGGGGGGGGGTGTATGTGTATGTGTGTGTGTAGAAACAATAATAATTGCAATATTAAAAACAAAGCTGAATAAGCCTTAAGCCTGAAAGTTGCTGGCCCATTTGTTTCTTATTGGATATACTTTGAGATGCTGTCTGCACCTGGTAACTGTCTCCTCCTGGTTGCACATTTCAAACCTGTCTGTACCTTCTTGTTGGTCAGGATAATCAGCAGTGGGCTGATGGCCGAGTAGCAGGAATCAAGGAACATCCGGGCATCAATGAGGCTCAGTGAGACAGGATACATACAGAGGGTAGAGATCCAGAAAAGGCTGTCCAGCCCAAAACAGAGAAGGTACATGATTAACAGGGCCACCACGGCTTTGGCTGCCTGGATCTCCGCGTGCTTTGTGTGCAGCCCCAACAGATGTTTTGCCTGCTTCCCGTGCTGATAAAACATGGAGAGAAGGTAGCAGCTGGAAAGAGTCATGACTCCCAGGAAGAACAAGTCCCGAATGACAGACACCGCCCCGTTTCCGAAGTACAAAAGGTGGTTGGGGAACACCATGTAGCAGAAGTTGTACACCACAGTGTGGCTTTTGATGATGGAGGAGTTTGCAGCAGCCTGGGAGGAGGAATAAGCCAGGTGGGTACTGCACACAAAAAGGTTGAAGCACCACATGGAAATCATAACTGAGGAGAGATTTTTCAGCAGGTTCTCTCTCAAGAGCAACCATTTGCAAGGAGATGGGACAATGAGGATACACTGGAAACAGCCCAGCAGGGAGGTGATGCAGATGGTCATGGCTCTGCCCACACAGTAAATATGGAGGGTAATTTTGCAGACCAGGTCATTGTACGTGTTCTGAAGCCTAAAGGTTTTGAGGGTGATGGGGATCCCCTGGGTCAGGATAACCAGGAGGTTGGAGAGCGCGAGGTTGCTCAGTATAATTTCAGAGGGCGTGACTTTTCCATGGCACATTAACATGTGGGTGAAGGCATAGAGGATGACTAGGTTCCCTGGGATCCCCACCATGTCCAATAAAATTAAGCCAACCATGTCAAAGATGAACCAGGCTCCCATAACTGATCCTGCAAATGGATGGATCTGTATAAAGAACAGGAGTACTTGCGGCACCTTAGAGACTAAAAAATTTATTTGTTAGTATATTCTGTATATTCTGCAAAGCAAAGACATTGTGCATTAGAAATGGTATGTACATTAGAAACTGGGGACTTTCAAGTCATATAATGTACTTGCAAAGTGGGTGTCTTTAATGCCCTCTAACATTTGGTCCAATATAAGAAAACAACCTACTAATGCTACCAGTTAGTGAAGTTACTCCTTTAGCTCAACTGTTAAAAGCTTGGGTTGTGGTACTGAAGGTTCTGGATTCAAACCCGGATTCAGATCATCAGAGGTGTCATTACATACAGAGAGTTAGGACAGATTTTGACCTTCTTAAAGATCCTCATCAAATAATGGGCTCAGGTGTCACTAGCCATGTCCAATTTGTGAGGGAAAGAGCACCGAGGACCATCCTGCAAAAGCAAACATACAAAGCTCAGTCACAAGATTGTGCTCCAGGTGCTACTTTGATGGCTGTTCAACAGCCTATGTGAAAAGGGTCGGTGGTCTGAGGCTTTTTCTTAGTGAACAGGTGTTAGAATTATTTTTTGCTGGTCACAATACCAACTGGCAAAATTAATTAATGCTATCTATCTGTAGGTCTTTACAGAGTGCCAATCAGTACAGTGCTTATGCACTGAATTAGTTTATTTAATTATCAATAATAAGTAGCATTTATATAGCACTTTAGAAGCTAAATTCACATAACACCCCCAAAAAGAGGCAGGTAAATATTATTGTCCTTATTTTACATATGGGGAACTGAAGCAGAGGGCTGAAATGACTTGTCCATAGCTATAAAGTGAGTCTGGGATAGAGGCAGGGAAACCTTCCAACTCCTACACCTTCGCTCATTCCTCCAGACCATGCTGAAACATCCTGACAGGAATTTCTGCACAAAGGAGTGTTTTCATTCAAGCCGATAGCAAGTTCGTTTGCACAGCTGGCAAAGATTTTGCATCCATGTAAGCCCTCTCTCCATAACGAAACATTTTCAGAAGTGGGTGATCAATTAGATTCTGTAAGATCTGAAAACTTGTAAGGCACTGTCTGAAATTGATTGTATTTATGGATTAAGATGTAGTGTCTGATGAGTAAGGTAAAAAGTTCCAGAGCAGATATGAGAAGAATGCACGCTCTGTAAAATCATCGCAATGAAAGCCTGCTTTCTGGTCACAGTTTCACTGAGACATAAAAGCCGTAATCAGAAAAAAAAATCCCCAGATTGTTCCAATGCTCCCAGTCCAGTTTCAGCATGAAATGTGCTATTTTAATACATCTGCCTGGGTGCCTATCTCCAGCAACGTCAATTTAGAAAAGGTTAATTCCGGCGATGGAGCAAGTAGAGCAGAGATAGCACACAAGCCGCTGAGGGTGTTCAAATCCCCAGGGGCAATAGGTTTTGTAACAGTGATTTTCAATTAATTCAACAGATTGCAAAAAAGTAAAAAACAGAACTTGCGAAAAAATGGCATTTGAAAAATACTTCAAAAGTTTGCATATACACACCCCTTGTGTGTTTGGGTCATTGGCCATTTAGAAGCAGGTACCTTGCAGCACACAGATGAGTGTACTGAACATCTCATAAAAACCATACGCCGGGGTGGTGTTCTTTATGTCCAGGAATACTTCTAATGATTCTTGTTTCTCAATAAAGATATAGTTAGGACCTTCTTATTTGGAGACTCCCACTACATTAACAAAACGTAATATTATGTAATTACAAGCGGGTTGGGGGAGCTGTAGCCAGATGACTGGGTCCAGTTATTGATATTTAATCTTTGGCATTGCTTTACCTACACAACCCAGGTGCCTTTCCATCAAAGTGCACTATACAAATTATTGGTAAAGAAATAATGAGACAAAGCAGTTATTTTACCATTATTAGAAAGATAAATACACATCTCTTAATTGCTGGATCTGTTTTTGAACTTCCAAGAAGTGCAGACCTGGTTTGCCTCTCTTTGGTGAAAGGCGTTATTAACCTCCCACAAGAAAGTGTATATATATATTTTTTTCTTAT